GTATTTACAGAGAGAGGGAGGGGAAAAAATTAAACAAAGATAACAATTAAACATAATGTACCGAGAAATCCCGAACGTTAACCGAAAATCCCGTTTGCCCTGCTGGCTAATATATCGATCGATCTATTACTTCTATTCTTTTAATTTTGGGGGTCTCAGGAGATGGAGGGGAATAACATTTCGGGAAGTTTTAAGAAGAGTTAACCCAGTGATCATTGCAATAACACGTGACAATCATTTGGCCTAAGTTAAGGTTAGTTTAGAGTTGGTTTAAGGATACAGTTTAGTCAAGTCTGTTTAATTCTGGTAAACAAATGACGTCATGATATGTTTATCATTTGATCGTAGATCACTGGGTTAACTGTTCTTAACGTGTCCCAACATTTCAATTTCAAACGGCCTACTAACAGAGTCATAAGGAGTTCAAACGTTGAAATGAAATTTGAAATCTGCATGGTCTAAATAAAATACACATTGTAAAGTATTGATTGATGTACTCAGGTATATTTTTCATTTATCTTTGCCAATATTCAAAGTTTTGTGCTATCTATGCTTCAAACACAATATTACTATTTTTGAGATCAAGTGTATACTATTCAAATTTAGCCTTAACATCGTACGAATCATAAGGATTTACAAGCTACGTAGAACTTTGTGATAGTACGGTATGCCCTTAACGTTAATTATTACTGCACTGTACGTACTGTACGCTAAATTTTTTGCCGATCACTTTTTCCAGCCAATCTGATGCAGGAAAAGAACTATACGTACAGTACGTACTGTGCGTACTGTACGCTAAAATTTTTCAGGTATCATATAAATGGCACATCACTAGTCGTAATGCCGTATTGCCGTAATGTCATAGTATAGAAGCAATTCTTGAAGCATGAAAAATTCTGTGCCAATCATTGTGGCACAGACTCCATCTACAAATCATATTTCAAGAATCAGGTGTAACGTAATACGATCAGTAACAAAGGTTCGTTTTGTCAAAAATTGCATATTTCTCAAAAAACCACATACAGAACCACTTTTAGTAATCTAACAAAAAGATTTTCTTGATCCATTTTACTATAAAATCATTCAGTCTTTAAGTTTATTCAAAACACTAATCACTGTTAATGAACTTTGAAAATTTTTGTTACGCACAATGATCGACAAAACCTAGCACAAAATTGTCACGGGTTTGATTGCTAAGAAAAATTTGGCCGGAATTACTAAAAATTTTACTAATGAAATCACAGTTGCCCATGAAGTGAAAATTGAACTGGGGTAAAATCACCCTAAAAAGTTTCAAGACCAATCAAATCTCAAGATCAGGTGTAACGTAACACGAATAGAAAAATTCAAAACAAACGTTCGTTTTGTCAAAAAATATGTAAACAAGTTTTTCTGCTCTTGAGACAAGTACTTGATTATGTAATTTTGAGTATATAAATCTATAAACAGACCAATTTCTTTTACTAGTCACTGAAGTTGTCAGAATTGATAAGACTTTCATACAACTTGACTTAAATATGGATATTACATACTTAGTAAATTCTATTAGTTAAGCAGTTTTGAGGTAAAATTATTCCAAAGATATTTTTTTATAAAACCTTTTGACTTTCCAATATATTCAGATAATTCATTTAATACTTCATTTTTATTATCAGTACCTGTAATTCAAATTATTTTAGTATTAATTATATCTCATCATATAGTAAAATCAAGATCTTTATCTCAATATCTTGAATCAAGAATGTATATAAAATAATTGCCAGATTATATAAAAAATTTATCTACTAACTTCTAGTTGTCTGCAAAGTAGCATTATATAGTTTTTCTAAAATTTTTGAATTATTCATTACTATATTTTTTAAGTTTTGTAAAGTTTTATATATAGAAGAAAGATATGACTTGTCACTTTCTAATTTATTTATAAAAATAATAAATTATTCTAAAAAATCAAATAATTTTTTAAGATCCATCCAAAATTTATAATCTAAAATTGTTGCTTTAATATTATTATTTATTTCAATACTGTCTTCAACTAATACAGCATATATCATAGATTAAGCTTATAACACATGATCAAAATACTCAAATAATGATATTTATCTAGTATCAACCATTAAAATAAATGTAATTTCAAGATTATATATTTTTTTGTAAATAATGAAAAACAGCCAATAGTATCAAATGATTATAAAAAAATAAAATCAATTTTTTGGTTTTTTAAAAATTTGTTTCACTCATTTATTTTTAAGAATGTCTTTAATTTAGAGATTAATTCCATGCATCTAATATCTAAGAAAAATTTAATTTAAATACTTAATTCTTAAAATATTCTATATAGTTTTTATATTATTTGCATTGTTAGTAATAATGCCAATGAATTTATCAATTCCAATTTTTTGCATCAGATTTTCTATTCTACTAGTAATATTTTCTGTAGTGTAATGTTTTTTATTAGTATGATTTGATTTAATAAAAAATAGAAGTGAAAGTAGTTATCATATAGTTAATTACAGATGATTTATTAACATTTGACCAACCATTATCAACTAAGTAATGATAAGATGATTCATCAAGAACATGTTGAATAGCTGCTTGTAGATTAGTATATTCATTATCAAGAAGTGAATTAGAGAGTTTATAATATGATAAGATTTTAAAGAATAGACAGGTTTTTTTGAGAAAAGTGTAAAAATCTTCATTTTCAATAATATTGAATAAAATTTCTGAGATAAAAAAAGTATGAACAAGTAAGGATTTCAATTCAACTTGATCTTTTGTAAAATTGTCCAAGATTGGTTGTTTTCACTTTTTATTTATATCAAAGGTTTCATTTGATGTTAAATTTTTTAAAACATATATTTTTAAAAGTTCTTGTAATCAGGTGGCATTTTTTACCTATTCTTTATTATATGCTTTGCACTTGTAATGCTCTCTTCCATTTTCATCAATTCATTGATTATAATGATTTCATATTTCAATGTTTTTATTTTGTACCATTATTAATTTAGCTATTATTGATATAGTGCTGATAAGGATTCTTGTTGTCTTTATTCAAGTTCACTGTTTGTTATCACACCTCTATGCTAATAATGTTTTTCCTTCTACACCTTCAACCACACAACCACAGTACACACCACTACTGTTTGATATTATGTCTTTACACTTTTTCTTCTACATCTTCAACCACACAACCACAGCATGAACCACCACTGTTTGATATTATGCCTTTACACTTTTCTTTCTACGCCTTCAACCACAGCATACATCACTAGATGATAATATTTATATATTTATTTTATTTTTGCTTGCTAAAAAAGAAGTTTGTTTTTGGCTTACTAATCCTCTTATTCTATATGTACACTTTTACTTTACTTAACTATTGCTATGTCTATGATTACATATTTTATATTATAATTCCTACATCGATATGCACAAACTCTGGATAAAGTTTGCTGATATGCTCATATGATTTGGCTAGATTTAGCTGATCACATGAATTACAAATTACATGAAAACTATATTACTGTAAACTTACACAAAATTACACAAAATTATATAAAATTACAGTAATTTTACAACCCTAGCGATATATAATCAAATGAATATTTATCAATATGTATTTTAAATTAAGTACTTCAGCATAACAAATCTAGTGATGTAATAATAAATAATTTTAAATCTTAAATTCAAAAATATATACCAAAAATAGATCATTGATTTTAAATTATCAATATTATATAAACTTTGTACAAAGAGAATTTGATACTGTTTAATATAAGAAATATGAATTTGACATTTAATTAATTATATATAATTATGTTGAACTGGAACTTAAATACTATTATTACTATAAGTTTTCACTTTATAGAATGAAGTTCATATTGAAATAACTTAGTAACAACATATGATACAAATAATAAAAATGTGATCATTTATTTTACAAAAGAATTGGCACCGCAACCATTGTCAGTATTCGAAAATGTAATTTAATTTAAATTATTTTAAAATATTGTTGATTTTAAATATCACTAATAGAAAAGTTAGAGTATGAAGAATGACTATTACAACTTTAAGAAAGGAAAAATTAAGAGAATTGTGCATTTCTAATTTAGAACATTAATATGCTTTTTTTTTGGTTTATTTGAAAAAAATAAATTTCTTACATAATTGTTTTGCTAAACTATTTGTATAAAAAACTCATTGTAATTGCTTTAATATCTAATAACTAATTATTAAAATTTTTATTATGATATGTATTACATATATCATACAATTTTTTATTTTCGATATTATATGCAACTACTTTTATTTTTCTACTATACTTTAAGTAATACCATGGCATTGTCACATCTGAAGTAGCGACTTATTTGAAGTAGCGCCTAGCTAAAATTAAGCCCCTGAAATTAGATCTTCATGCATGCATTAGATTTTAATTTTAGCCAAGGTGCTACTTTAGATCAGAGTCATCAGATTTTAGTAGCATATAAATAGCACTATTTTTAAACAAAATAGTTAGTGACATTGTTTGATGCTAATATGCGATTTTTACTATTTGTGCATTAACACGTGACTATTGCTTTTGTTCTTTCTTTTGTTCTTATAATATAACAATTACTGTTTGTAATAATAGTAATAGTAAAAGAATAAAATTTAAATAACTTCACTAGTGTTAAATGAACATTTTTTAAAGATGCCACAAAATCTTTCACTTCTAGATAGATATCCTAAATACATGGATGATTTTTATGAAAGCAAAGGAAAAATTTTTTGTTCCTTCTATAAATGTTAAGTTGATCATCAAAAAAAACATAGTTTAGATTCACATTTAAAAACTAATAAACATGAAAGGCAAAAAAGAATTGCTGAATAAATGAAGTTAATGAAACTTTATCAAGTCAAAATTTAACTCAACTTCAAGCTCAAATAATCAATAAACAAGAAATAAATATCGATATTATTAAAGCTATTACTAAAGCAGATATTTTTTTAGAAAAAATCAAAAAACTAAAATCATTTTTTCAAAAATATTGTATAAATGATATATTTATATTTTTAAATTAAAATTTATAAATATATATTAAAAATAATAATAATTTAATTTATTAGGTGGTTCAGTTGTAGGTGCTAGTCAGCTTTATGAATGATATCTTCCTCTTGTTTATAATATCAAATTAGAAAAACTACATACTTTGTTTCAAGATAAAAAATTTGTATAACAATAGATGAAACAACTGACGAATGTGAAAGAAACATTGTTAATATACTTTTTAGTTTTGGAAAATTGACAAGACTTGTAAAAACTGAATTTCTTACTGAAGTTAATTTTACTACTATATCACGAGTAGTTGTTTCTACAATTTTATTTTATTCTTTGTCATTTAATAATATTCTATTATATATTAGTGACAATGCAAGTTATATGAAAAAATCATTTTCTGATATTTTATCACCATTAATTCCATGAATGTAACATAATACTTGCTTTGCACATATTTATAATTTAGTTGGAAATACTTGGCTCGAATATGAAAATTTTCAAATTCTAGATAAAACTGTTACTGCTAACAAATCTACTTTTGTTCATTCATACTCTAGAAAAAGATGATGGTTAAATCATCTTACTCAATATGCATTAGATGATGAAGATATTCGATTAACATTACCTCCATCACCTGTTAAAACTTGATGGTTTTCCTGATTCCAGTTTATTAACTGGATGAAATCTTATCTAAAATACTTGATTACTTTTTAACAAAAAGAAAAAGATCTTCTTGATTCTTCAAAAGCTATTATTAATCTTGCTGACTGGTTTTCTAAACCAGATATAGTCACTCAAATCAAATTAATTATTATGTTCATTATGCTTAATGGAAAACAGTACATTTATTATTTAATTAAAATACATTAAATATATATATTAATAAATTATTTATTTTTTAGATTAATGCATGATTTAGATTTCTTTCAAATTAGAAATATCCCAATTGCACCAATGGTTTTCCCACGAATCCAGAAAATGCAAGAAACACTTCAAAATGGAATTACTACTCCGCCATTCTTAAGTGAGATGATTACCTATATAAGTCAGAAGCAATTGAATATCAATTACTTTAAAAGAATTTTTGAACAAGCATTTAATTTAGTGCATACAAAATTTTTAAAACATATTTGGCAACATAACGCACTATCACTTTTTAAAAGTATCCAATGTTTTAATCCTCAATATATTTGTGAAGATAATTCACGACATAATCTATTAATTTATTCGGATATTTTTGAGTTTAAACACCCTTCAAATCAATTGATTAGCGAATGGAATATTTATTGTAATATGGTTGAAAATTTTGAGATTAATACCAGATTTGATTTGGAAAAATATTGGAAAAATAAATTGTATACATTACCCATTCTTTCAAAAATTGCTTTAGTTTATATTTGGGTTCCTGCTTCGGGAGTAGATGTTGAATGTTCATTTTCAAATTATAAACATATTTTAGATGATAGATGAAGGGCTCTCATGGAAAAAAATATAGCTAGATTAAATTTTTTATACTTTAATGAATATGATTTTAATGATGATGATATGGAAGATTAGATTTAGAATATAAATTTATAATAAAATTTTTTTTCACTATTTTGCTAATTTTGCTAATTTTACTAGCTAATTTTGCTAGCTGGTTTCACTTTTAACAACTGATAACCTTGCTTTAGATATATAAAGTGGCTACTTTAGATAAATCGCTACTTCAGATGCGACAGCATATTGTTTCTAGTAATAAAGATGTGTTAAGTATTTATAGAAGAATTTGCTTTGTTGTTGGGTTGGGATGTTTTAGCATTTTATTAGAGATTGCTTGTAGGCCTGATACTTTGTTTAAAGATAACTACTTTATTGTGTTTTTCAGTAATTTGATTATAATAGTGTTAATGTAGAGTATTACTAAGGGTTTATTTTAGTAATAGAACTATAAGTTGACTTCTAGTTAAGCCATGCTATGTTGTTAGGTGGGTTTGACTTTGTTCAGGTTTCAAAATATGCCTGTACATATTGTTTTATTTGTGTAGATGAGGTAATTACATTCTCTGTTTAATATTATAAAAAATTACTGGATTTGTATATCTGTATAGAATGCTATTAACCATTTTCATTGTATTGTCTGTAAAGTTAAAATGTCTTTTGGAAATAACTGTTTGTATTCATTTTTACTAAGCTGCTTGGTTTTAATATTTTAGACATTGTACAAAGTGCTGCAAACTGTAAATAATTGGTCAATAGTATTGCTAAAATTAGTATAGTTTAAGATATTTTTATTAAAGATTTTGATATGAAGGTCTGTTAGTGTTTGTGTTTTTACTAGTAGATAATTAATTTGTATAATAATTTGTTATAATGATATAGATAGTTTAGTAGATGTAACTATGTATAGGCTTTTGTTTAAATTTTTAGTACTGTGTGAAGTAATATTAACTTTTTGGTAAATGCCAAGTGGGTATAAGGTGTAACTTTTGTTGATGAGATTGTTTTATTGGCTGCCATTGCTTGTTAAGAGTTTTGATGCAAGAAGTTAGGTCAGTTGATGTGTTGGTTGTATTTCTATATATGAGTTGACTTTTGTTTTAAGTCTTTCCACTTGTCCTTATCTATTTGTTTGTATAAGTATATTGTTTTTTTCTTTTTTTTGTATCTTTTATGTCTAATTGTGAAGTTAGTATTTCAGGTTGTGTGTATTATTTTATGATTACTTCATGTAAATTCAGTTGGTTTATTAAAGTTGATGTGTTAGTTTAGTGTATAATATTATATAACATCTATATATCATCAATTTGGCTAGATTAATTTGTTTGTTGCCAAGTAGGTATACTAATTTTAAAATGATTAAGAGTGCTTATAAGAGTGTAAGTAATAAAGTAATAAAGTAAAAAGGTTTTTTTTTACTTGTGAGTTGTTATTGAAGCCATTAGTGATGACAATATAATAGAATTTTGTTAGAGTCTGTTGTATTCATGTTATTACTTTGTTTTGAGTGCTGGTTGGATAATAGTAGATAAATTGATATAATTATAGTTTTATTGCACTGTGAAAAAAACAGGTCTATAATGATTGCAGTGTCTAGGCATGTTGCAATATTATGTATATAAGGTTAAAGTTGTAAATATAGTGTAATTGCTATTTTAAGGCTGCTTTCTCTTATTTTTTTATATTTGTTTTGCAATTAGATGTGTATACTTTATAATATGGATTGACTATTTGGAGTTTTGTGAAGATGGATTCTGTAATTTTTGTTTCTTGCATGCAAATAATATGAAAGTTTTGTTTATAGTAATATTCAAGCCAAAGTTGTAATTTGAGGTTGTTGTTGATTTCTTGCACATTATAAGTACATATTGTTAAATTGTTAATGCTAATAAAATTAATAATAAATTAGTTTATTGTAGAGTTGAAAATTAGTGTTAAATGTATTTAAACTGCTAGGATGTGCAGTTATTATTGAATTTTAAATGAGAAGATCTTCCAGTTTGGTTCTGAAAAAGATGGCAGTACTAGAAGATTATCTGAAATATTGTTAATAGTAAAGTGTTGTTATAGTAGTTTTAATATATTTTTTGTTTTTGTTTGTTGTGTAATTGAAATAGGTGTTTGAGTAAAATCTATTTTTTTCATGTTTAGATAGTTTTTAATTTCTGTTGATGAGTTTGAAAATGCAGGTTTAGGTGGGTTTTTGTTTTTATCTTGGTTTGTATTTTGTATATCTATTTGTTTGATGTTTTCTGATATATTAATCTAGGTGTTTGGAATATGATAAAAGTAATATATTTGTTATAGTGTTTTGGCTATATCTACAAGTTCTTTTAGTAGATGTTATGAGAGTTGTGATATTGAAGTCTTCAATTTTCTGTAGATCTTCAAGTAAAATAGGTTTGTCTATAGAGTTTGCTAACATTATGCTAGGTAATAATAAGAGAAAAACTTGTAGATTAATATAATCTGGTCTATAAATTGGTTCATTTGTTGGTTGTCTGTTATTAAAAAAATAAATATGTCAGATGTTTTAATTTTGTTGGTATCTTTTGAAAGAGATGACTTGGCTTTGATATAATTATTTGAAAGGTTATTAAATATAAATTCTTCTTTAAAGAGTTCTATAATCTGTATGATATCTGTATCTGGGTCTTGTAAGTCTAGTGGGAAGTAGAGTTTGTGTTTGCTACTAAGATCTTGATATGCAAGTAGAAGTAATTGTTTAGGAAATAGTAGATAGGGTTCCGCAATTTGATTTGATTTGATTTGATTTGATCAAATATTTGAGTTCAAATCAAATTCAAATCTGAAATTTTCAAATCAAATCAAATTCAAATATGATTAAATTTGATTTGATTTGACAAATATTTGATTTGATTTGAAAATTTATAATTGAATATTCAAATTTATAAGCCATTTACTCGAAATTTTATTAAGACAATCGACTTTTTTGTTTTATGAAACTAGGGGTATTTTGTTTAGATGAACACTTTTACTTAAGAGCTCAAGTTCGATTAACATAGTAAAAGTTTTCGTAAATTAAGTTTTTTCTTTATCGATCAAAAATTTTAAATTTTTTTGAAAATCAAATATTTGATTTGATCAAATTCAAATCGATCCAATATTTGATTTGATTTGATTTTGAGGAACCCTAATAGTAGATTAAAGTAGTTTGAAAATATGCTTTTACAAGAATAGTAGTCTTGTAGTCTTTTTTTATAAAATGCTAAATTGTTTAGCTGGCTGTATTTGGTAATTTAAAAAAAGTATCTTATTGCAGAGTCTAGGTCTTATACATTTTTTAAAGTTGAATCAATATAATAAAGTATTCTTGTAAGAGTTGCTTGAAGTTATATATTTTGTGTAATACAGCTGCTATAGCTTTTGTTTCTAATCTTTGTTTTATAAAAAAACTGAAAGAAACTATTTGTAAAATTTCACTAGAAATTTCTCTTGGATTCACTGAGAGTAGATTCAGTTGACCTGAAAAAGCAAACTATATTGCATCTTGTATATCTTAAAAGTTGATTGGAGTTTTATCTCTAGTAAAGTTCTTGTAGTATTTGATTAGAAAGTAAAGAGTTCTAGATGTATTTGTTGTGAAGCTAGTATTGGTTAGAAAGTTGATTATGATTTTTTGTTTAAGTTTTATATGTATAGTATCTTTGATTGCTCTGATTGTTATTGTGATTTTATATAATTTTTTGTAGTTTTTTATTGCTGTCTTGAATAGATCTTCATAGGTAATCTGGTGTTAGGATTTAGAGCATTTGTCTCTTGTAAAGATATGAAAAAATGCTAGGTCTTGGTGTTTAAATTTGGCTTCAATTGCTGAATGAAGTGGAAAGTTAGTAGGTTTAGTGAGCAGCTTGTGTTCTATAAAGTTATAAATTCTCTTTTTTGTTTTCAAAGCAGTAATAATTTCATCTTAGTTTTATAGCTCTTAATTGAAAGGTTGTGTAATTTTTTTTTGCAAGTTGTTAGATATGCTGTTCATCTATTCTTGGGTATAATATATCTCTATGTTGTCTTGTGTTATGTTTTGTATAATAATATTTCTTTGTGTTATTTGGTATAGGTAGAGGGCTTTTGCTTATCAGAGTTGCTAGCTATTGTAGTGACAAATTCAGTTTCCATATTTGGATTATCAAGGTTTGTTTGTTTTT